CGAAGTTAAGTTATAGTTACCGAAAAAAGTAACTGTAACTGTAACTTCTGTTGTGCCTCCGGGAAGGCACGGAAAATTTTGGGGTCTCAGTCGACTGAAGGATGAGGATCCTAGGATCGGAGGGCGTCTCCACTTTGATTAACTTCGCTTGTGTTGAATAATCTTTATTTCGCTTATTTCTTGAGTTGGATTAATTATGTATAATCCCACCTGGGTGATTAGTTGGTGTGCTCGCTCTCGATAATCAGATTACAGCGATAGTTATATTCTGCGGCTTGTCTTCGACTCCTAGTTAGGTTCTAATTAGCGACTTGACTTTTTGGATTTTCGTTAGCGACTGACTTTCGTCGCCTCGCTTTCCGTTCGCGGTGGTCTCCTGCTCTTTTCTAACTCTTTCGGGGGAAGATGTAGAAGCTCTTTCATTGGCTAATTTTTATTCACACGCTTTATCTAGGTGCAAGCGAAGCAGGTTGATTCTTCGCTTGCGATCCGCGGTTTCGGCGTAACGTAACGCTTATATTTCATCGCGTTTGCGTCTTCTTTTCGCGATAAGCGCTTCGCGAGAAGCGTGAGAACGTTTCTCAAATGATTATATAATAGCTGACTTACTAATTTATTATTAAAAACTATGTTAATATAATATAAATATATATATAGTCCATTCGGACTATACATTCCTCCCCCGTTGAAAAAAGAAAAACGGAGGTACGAAGTTTTCGTTCTTAATTTCTTAACTTACATATAATAGTGGTTTCCCGTTACAGTATAGTATTTACAATCGTTTCTTAAATTCTAGTACTTTGACTTCTTCTTAGGATTGATCTCGGATTTCGAAGTCAATATTTGTTGTAGTTTTCGTTGTTGTTTTTGTTTTTATTTTTTCTTTTTATTATTATTATCCATGTTAAAATGAATATTGTAGCTACTGTCATTACTGTTCCGGTAAATGTCATTGGGTAGACAAATTGCTTCCGTGCATAAAAATTTTGTTCGTTGTTTGTAAGTCGTTGTCTATAGTTTCTATTTTGTCTCTGAGTTTTGTCAATTCCAAACGATGTTGTGAGATGTTTTCTAATGTGTCCTGATCATGTCCTATTTTCGTCTCGTGGAATTGTTATATTTATATTTGGTAGGAAAGTTTCTAAGGTATTTCCGTACAGTTTTTTGCCGTTTGTAATGTTGTGTCTGTTGTTGTCAGTTTAAATTTTCGTTTAATGTAATCTCGCCTGTGTTTTTGATTACTTTACTTTCTGATCGTCCGTCGCATCGTATGGTTATTGTCTGTTCAGCGGAGGTCGAGTATAGCAAGTGTCTTCTTGGTGTAAGGTATCCATATCGTGCGGGGACGAGGTATATTGTCTAACATTACATTTGTCCTGATCTTGAATATGCTTTCGTTTGCAATTTTTATAAAAGCAAGAGGGGCGTTCGGTCTATATGTCTCCTGTCGTCCCTTTAGTCTTATGACAACCTTTGATTTATTACTATCGTTGCGTCTTCAAAAAAAAAAAAATGGTTGGTTCCGACATGTGGTTCGATTGTTCGCGATGCCATGTGGAGTTTGTGCCCTGGTGGGAACCGCTATGCTTCTCGTGTTGAGATTTCTTCGATGGTGGGCCAGTTGTGGGGCCCGCATTGCCGACCGGCCGTTTCGAACGGGCTTTGGGGCTGTCGCCAAGATTTGCGGCTAGCTCTTTTCCATTTCTTTACACGTAAGTGTAAATGTGAGGTCTGGTGTGCGCGTTGTGCGCGAAGTTGCTTTGGTGCCTCCCGAGGAGGGATTTATGATTCCGGCCATGCAGACTTTGAGAGCTTTGCAAGAGGGGCGGCCTCTTCCTTATGGGCGTTTATGTCGCGAGGACGAGCAGACAATTAGGTAAGTCCTAATTTTCAATAAATAATTTTAATCTATTTGTGTGTATGCGTATCGCTCTTCTTCCTTTTTTTACTGTGTAATTTACGCTTGAATTTTTTCTATTATTGTATACGGTCCTGCCCATAATGCGTCTAATTTCTTGGATCGTCCGCGTCGGAGTGTCTCGTCGTATACGAGTACTTTGTCGCCTATTTTAAATTCGGTTTCTTTCGCGGATTTATCAAAGTATTCTTTCGATTTTATTTTTTCCTCTTTAATATTTTCTTTCGCAAAGTTGATTTGAGGCACGTACGTATTCTTTCCCTTAGTTCCTGTAGTAGTCATCGTAATTATACGTCAGTTTAGGCGTTTTGTTAGTGCCGTCGGTAGTTCGACTTGTCGTCCATATATTAGTTCAAAGGGGGTATATCCCCGCTGAATGAGGAGTGGTATTATATGTAAACATTGCGTATGGCACCCATTCATCCCAGTCGGTTTGGTCAGCATTTATATATTGTCGCAAATATTCGGCTAATGTGCGGTGCGATCTTTCTAATGCTCCATTACTCTCGGGGTGATACGCGGTTGTTTGTATCTTTTTTATTCTTAATAATTTGCATATATTTTTAAATACTTCGCTCATAAAATTTGTGCCTTGGTCTGTTAAAATTTTTTCGGAATGCCGTGTTCGAAATTATTTTCGTAACGAACTCTTTCGCGACGGTATTTGCTTCCTGATTTGCGATCGGTATCGCTTTACTGAGTTTCGTCAGGCTATCCTGAAATGTTAGTAAATATTTGTTTCCGTAGTGGTAACTGTTAACGGTCCGACGATATCTAATGCACATTTTTCAAATGGTTTATTCGGAGTATCTGTGATTACGAGGGGTGCTTTTATTCGGCGCGATAATTTTTTTTTTTGGCAGGATTTGCATTTTGCGATATATTGTTCGACATCTTTTGTCAATCCTGGCCAGTTATAGTTTAATCGAATTCTTTTGATTGTTCGTTCGATTCCTTGATGCCCTCCTGTGGGTGCATCGTGATATTCATAGAGTATTTGTTTCTTTCCTCTTCAGAATATTTCCTTGTATTATCTGCGAATTCTTCCTCTTCTTTTTCTTCTTCGTCTCTTCTAACGTGAAGATTCTATTTTTTGTCCCTCGTTGATATCTCGGGTTACTTGTCGGCTTAGCGCGTCGGCATTCGCGTTTGCTCGTCCGGCCCTTGTGTATGATTTCATAATCATATTCTCGAGTTTCAGTCTCCAACGGATTATTAATCTAGACCCGGGGTCAGTTACATGAATAGCCATATCAAGGGTTATGATCGGTAATTATTTTAAACTTTGTGCCATAAATGTATGGTCGAAAATGTTTAACAGCCCATACAATTGCCAATAGTTCCTTCTCCGTAGTATTATAATTTTGTTCCGCGCGAGTAATACTCGGCTGGCGTATGCGATAGGTCTATCCTTGCCTACCGTTCCTTGTGATAGTACGGCTCCGATTGATAGTCGAGGCATCGGTAGTCACGTTGAATTCTTCATTGAAATCCGGATACTTTAGCACTGGCGCTGTCGTTAATTTTTCCTTTAATTTTTCAAACGCATTTGTTGTTTTTTTTCCATTCGAACGTTTCCGTTTTCTTCGTTAATTTTGTTAACGGTTTTGCGATTCGCAAAAATTTTCTATAAATTTCCGGTAATAACCCGTTAGTCCGATAAACGATTGTACGTCTTTTACTTTCCGTGGTGTCGGAAATTTTTTTACCGCCTCTATTTCGAACGGATCTGCAGTATACCAGTTTTCGGAAATAATATGTCCAAGGTATATTACTCTTTTCGTAAAAATTCGCACATTTGTCAGGCTGTAGTTTGAGACTATGTTTCCGTAGGCGTTGTAATACTTCCGCGAGTCTTCTGTTGTGATCCTCTAAACTGGATCCGTATATAACGATGTCGTCGAGATAAACGAGACATCGGAGTCCTTGTATCCCGGTTAGCACTGAGTTCATAAGTCGTTGGAAGTCGCAGGCGCGTTTTTAAGTCCAAACGGCATTCTATTAAACTCGTAGTGTCCGTAGAGGAGTCGAGAAGGCTGTTTTATTTTTGTCGCGCTCGGCCATCGGTATCTGGTGATATCCAGATGCAAGGTCGAGCGTCGTAAAATACTTCGCGTTTCCCAGCTGATCCAAAATATCGGTAATATTCGGCAGTGGGAATGAGTCGCCTATAGTCAATTCATTTAACTTTCGGAAATCGACTACTACTCTTAATCGCGGTTTGCCTGTTGCGTCAGTCTTTTTGGCACTACTAATAACGGTGCATT